AAGATGAGGTGTGCTGGTCTCTGTCCCCATGTCGCCCTCGGATTTGGGTCTCAGGTACACAGACCAGGGCGGCGAGGAGGAGGAGGACCATGAGAGTGAGGAGCAGCTGCAGCGCCGCATCCTGACAGCAGCCCTGGAGTTTGTACCAGCCCACGGGTGGACAGCAGAGGCCATTGCAGAAGGAGCCCAGGTGTGTATAGGTGAAGGCGGGGCCAGCCTGACCATGATCAGCCAGGAGGGGGCGCCTGGGGGTGACAGCTGCCAAAGCAGAGGGCCTCATGCATCTTCCAGCCCAGCTTGGAACCCCTTACTGCTGCAGGACTCTGTGTGTGTGTGTGTGTGTGTGTTCGTTCCCAATAAGGTGGAAATAGCTTCCTTTTTAAACTGTTTTTTTTCTTTTTCTTTCTTTGTCTTTTTTTGTTCTTTGTTTCTTTTTTTCTTTGTTGTTTTGTTTAAACTGTTTTTTAACATAAAAACAATATGAGATGGAGTTGGTTCTTGGGAGTTAGGTTCTAAAGGCAGCCCATTAGGCAAGAATTGCCTATGATCAAAACTACTGCCTTTTCATCGACTCTAAGGTGTCATTGATTGTAAGGCGCACCATTATTTTGTGCATCACTAAAAAGGAAAAATGCTGCCTATACACTAGAATGCATCGTCAGTTGTACAGTTTACACTGATTGTTTAAAATGAAAAAGATATGTGCATCTTAAAATCGATGAAACAGGGTGTTTGAAAACTCCCAAGAAGGCACCACTTTGGAGACCAACATACCTTATTTTTCTCAATAAGTCTAACAGCATTTCATTCTTTGTTAAGCGATTGGCTTATTATGTTCAGGCCATGTTGTCCAGAATCGTCAAGCATAGCCACATACCCTACGAGAGGTCTATAAGAACAGAGACTGGTGGAATTACAGACTCATATGTCCCATCCCAAGCTTGCTGCCGGACAGCTGCTCATGAAATGGGACAATGTGCAACTTTGCTCCTTGTCTTAAATTTAAGTTATTTCTCTTGTCTCTCACTCTCCCAAGAGCACATATGGTAACAGAAGTCATATAAATGGAATGTGTATACTACATGACGCCACTATGCTCATTGTGAAAACTTTGAACGATACAGATATAGAAAATATCAGATCTAATGTGGTGGGGTCAGAAAAGGCTTTTGAACCGAGAACTATGGAATGAGTTAGGCTTCCCTGGTTTGGTGGGGGTGAGGAATGGACACGTCCAGACAGAGAAACAGCACGCGGAAAATGGAGAGACGCCTGCCACATGAGAAGAACAAAGAACACCGTCATGTAGAGAGTGAAGGAAGAGAGAGAGACTTGAGCTGAATAGGAAAGGTCGTTGAGGCCAAATCAGGCAAGGTCCTAAAGGTCGTGTTAAGGAGTCAGGCTTTTATTCTAAGAATAATTGAAGATACAGGATTAAATTTGACATTTCAAAACTACCATTTGGCTGCTGGGTAAAAAATGGATTGGAGGCAGAGAGTCATTGGGGGCTGTTGCCAGTCACCCAGGAGAGATGAGGGTTTTCTGGCCTAAAGCAGTGGCAGTGAACATGGAGATAGGTGGGTAGATTTGATGATAGAATGACATAGGAGGCAGTGACAAGATAGCACCAGAGTTACAGTTATTGTGTGTGTGGGTACATGTTGGTGCCGTTATCTGAGATTAGGGCCACTGGAAGAGTTCCAGGCTTGGGGAGGGATCATATAAGAAATTTGTTGAGTATGAGGGATCTTGGAGTCAACCAATGGAAGACGTCAAGCATACAGGTCTGAAACGAGATATCTGCACTAGAGTGTACAAATGTGTTTGGGCATCATCAAAAAATATATATATATGTGATAATTAAACCATGCAAGTGAATGAGATTGCCTAGCCTCATGTGGGTATGCTTAGAGTATAATGTGAAAAGAGGAGTCTAGGCCCTCAAGGAACTCTGATATTTAAGGGTGGAGTGGATCAGGGTGAGCTCGCAAAGAAGACTCAGGCAGAGTAGTCTGATGTTGGAGGCAAAGCAGGAGAATGTGGATTAAGCAACTAGACATAGCAGCAGCCGTATGGGGGGAGCGTCCAGTCAGAAATAATTGGAGGGAGCTAAGTGAGTGGAAGGTAAGGAAGTGGGGAGGTGTTTGCCTGCGAAGGGTGGAAGAAAGCTAGTGTGTACCGAGCAGGGGAAATGGGATGGAAGTTTGCGCATGTTTGAACACTGACGGGAGATGCAGAAACAAGGGTGAGTAAAGAAACAAGAAAGTGGCAAAAGCAAAAGCATGCGGGTCCTTGAAGGCAGGAATTATGAAACCCAGAAGACAGGTGGGACGGCTGGCCCTACGTGGCAAGGTTGGAGAAGACAGACGCGGGGTTAGCTTCTAGAAGAACATTAAGGAAGTTCCCAGGGGATGGCTACTGAGTTCCCTGTGAAGTAGGTTTGCTTGTCTCACGAACCTGAAGTTCGGAAAGAAAGGAAGGAGACCAAGGTTTGGAGGAAGCAGAGAAGGTTTGAAAGAATCACTACAAAAAGTTGTGGAACTATCGATAGTAGAGGACAGAAATGTAAGAGGATTGTTTGGGAAAATCTGATTTGCTGAATATTCTGTGGTTAACTGGTTTTTTTCACTCTGTGCATGTCCATTCATAGTGGCTGCATAGTACCTACTGTATTCATTGGAACTCGGTAAACATTTGGGTAGTTTCCAGTTTTTTAGTAGTATAAACCTTTTTGTGCGACATAAATTTAAGTAGATTTCTAGTTGGTTTCTTTAGGACAGATTCGGGGAAGTTGCTCTTTCAGGGAGTGTATCAGTCAGGAGACAGAAACTACACCAGTAATCTGTATTAAATAGAATTAACACAAAGAACTGTGAACTCAGTGTAAAGCAGGTGAGCAGGTAACTGAAAGGGTAAAAAGAACACTAAGATATTATGGCGGTAGCAACTGCGGGATGCAGCTCCCATCCCCAAGGCTAGGAAACAAAGGGTGAAGTTGGAATGATTAAAAGTAGGAGCTTGCAGGAGAGTCCCTGTGGAGGTGACGCTCAGATCCCTGAGGAACAGCCGCTAGTCAGCTGGCGCTGGAGTCTAAGTTTGGAGGAAGGGTCCCTTGGGGCTGGTGTGGAAGGCGGAGTGGTGGGCATGGTGGAGCGGTTGGGAGGGCAGGGAGAGGACGGTGGCTTGATGAACTAGTTCTGCGAGTGTTGGGAAAAGTGCAGGCTGGGTGCAGCGGCTGCCACAGGATGGAGAAGCATCACTGGGACGATGGCACACAAACCACAAGTAGACGGAAGTCAACAGGAAGGCGCAAGTCCCCCCTTCCTCCTCCAGCCTCGCAGTCTCCCTGTGCACCCTCTAGAGACCCTAACATGGAGCTAGAAGTGTGGTTTGCAGAGCCCCAGCCCCTGCATCACAGAGATGGGGATGGAAGGGCAGCTTTGGAGCTGAGACAACAATTCAGCCACTGTCCCAGAGAGTGTGTGTATTTTTGAGGTTCTTATTATATTTATATTAGAGGCAGTATAGCCTGGTGGTTAAGAACTTTAAGCCTCGGTTTCCTCATCTGTAAAATGTGGGTGATGATGATACCCACCTGCTGGAGGTGCTGTGAGGCTGCAGTGAGGTTGTGTATGAAATGTGCTTACAGGGTGCCTGGTACATGGCTAGGACGCAGTCGCTGTCAGCATCGATGCTGCTCAACTCTGATGTTGATGTGAATATCAGCCAGTTGCCCTCCGAAGGGCTGTGTATTTACACCAAAAGAGAGGCGCTTTCCCTGCTCCCAGTGCTGGAGATTTAGAGTTAACTGTTTTTGTTCCTCCCCTGCTTTCTGCCCCTGCTGCTGTCAGGGTGCTGCCTCCAGTAGGTGCTCAGTGATTGCCGTGTGTCAGGGAAGGATCCTTGTTAACTCCTTGACAGCTCATTAAGATAAGCTTTGTTGTGGATGTGTGTGCGCAACTGAGAGGCCTAATTTCCAAGAGATGTAGGTGAATTGGTAAGGGAGAGAGTTATAAGTGCTCTTCCTGAGCCCCTTTTTATATTAGACCAGATTACAAGTGTCAGAGCTCAACTCTGGCTCAAGCAAGAAGGGAAATGTTTCAGCACATTTAATAACAGAAAAGTCTGGAAGTAGGTCTGGCACAGCGTTCTTAGTTTGTGCCGCTGGGAATTCTCTCTCCAGCATATCCTTTCAGACACGGACAAGAATGAAGAGTGGGGCGGTCTGCTGTAAATCAAGCTGCTATTACTAGCAAAAGAGGCACTAGTGCTGAACAGGCAACACGTGTCCATTACACTTGCTGCCCCCTTTCTCTTTCCCCTCTACCCTCTCATAGTCTCTGGGTCTCTCCAGTGCGGCAGCCAGCATGTTTGGGAATGATGGCAGTGAGCTGATCCTGCATTTTGTGACCCAGTGCAACGCTCAGCTCACCCGTGTGCTGGAAGAGGAGCAGAAGCTGGTGCAGCTGGGCCAAGCAGAGTAAGTCCTATGGCATGAGCACTCAGGGTGGCAGCTAAGGATCGAGGAACTCAGGCCCCACCGGTTGTCCCCAGGAGGTCAGTCCACGCAGGGCCAAAAGAGAGCAGCATTGAGCAGTCCTGCTGCCCTGATGGGAGTGACAGGCAGCTGCCTGGCTCTGACAGCTGGAGTCAGGCTAGCATCCGGAGCTGGCGAGACCCTCCTCCCTAGGCTGAGTGAACAGTGGAGCACCGAGCCCATGCCTTTGACCCAGAGACACACTGTTTTCTTTTCCCTCTTCCAGGAAGAGGAAGACAGACCAGTTCCTGAGGGACGCAGTGGAAACCAGACTGAGAATGCTGATCCCGTACATTGAGCACTGGCCCCGGGTACAGAGTCCATGTGCAGGCTCCAGGGCAACAGTGTACTCACATTTATAATTGTCAGCACCTTTCACTCGGAGGACCTTGTACACTGTTCAGAAGTTAGCTCACTGATCTCCACAAACCCAGGGATGCTCTGTGCACTTGGCAGAGCTAGGTTTCAAATTTGGGGGTGCCAAAGAGAGTAACTCGGAGCCATCTGTGTCTCAGTTCCTGGAGATGTGAGTAGCCTGGGTACTAAAGCACATCCTGGGTGGGGTCTTAGTGGCCTGAGTGTGCCAACAGGTCTTCAGTGAGGAGGAATCCATGAAGGAGATTAGAAAAGTCAGCACATTTTATTGGTTATTGTCATTAACAGGCCTGTTGTGTTCTAGATCTCAGAGGACTGGACTTCTTTTCAAATGGTCAGTGTGATGCTTGAGATTTGGAGTATTCATTCTAGGGCGTTTCTCCCCTTTTCTGAAGCTACCTTTTTCTTGTTTCAAAGCATGTCACAGTGTGGGCCATTCTCTCAGTTAAGAAAGTCAAGTCAAAGCACATCAGCAATGAGGAACACAGAGATCACCTAGTGTCCTCCGTCCAGCTGGGACACGGTTGAGCATGTAATTTCAGGCAGTTGATTGACAGATATTTGAACACCTGCAGTGTGCCTAACCCCAGGCTGGTGTGAAGGGAGTACAGCCGCGAGTCCAGTCTGCTGCCTGTTTGCCACGCTTGATTTGCATACCTGTGGCCTTGCCTCGTTCCACTTCATAGTTTAAGTGATGGAAAAGAGTGTATTAGGCCCTGGGTGCTTCCTGATTCAGCATGTTTCCTTCTGGGCTTCTTCACTAAGAGAAAACCAGCCAATCCAGGATCTTTCTGTCCAGCTGCCACAGGCCACAGCCAGTGGATTTTAGAGTTGGTAAAATGGCAAGACCTTGTACTGTCAGGAGTTGATGTCTGCCAACGGAGGNTTCTCAGCAACATTCTGAGACACAGGGGGCAGAAGAACCCAATTCAGAGTCTTCTCGTCCCCCCCCCAGGTAGGCACCAGCACCCAGCCCACCCATTTCTGGCCACTTCGCATGCTGGGTATATCTGTTCTTCCTCTTTCCTCTCTATCCCCCTTCTCACCTTTTATCATTTTTAAGACTCTTTGAAAGGAACCTATTGTCTTAATGAAAAGGGTGTGTGTACATTCTAAAACATCTGAACAATACAAAGAAGTTCACAAAAATAAAGCAGAAATTACCAGAATTCACAAACCCAGAAATAACTTCGCTAACATTTTTGTGAATATCCTTATAGATGTTTTTCTAAGCATATTTCATATATAAACCTATGCATATGATAGTGATTAATTGCACTATATACTATACATGCTGTTCTGGAACCTGCTTTTCTTCACTGACTAGCACATTTTTAATGTCTTTTCACGATCTATATTATTTTAATGATTGCATAATATACCAGCAAATGGCAATCCCAAAGTTTACTTAACCTAATTTTTATTGATGAATATTTAGATTTCCTTCACTGGCATGAAAAATAATGTGATAAAGCATGTCATTCTCTGAGCAATCACTGAGTCAATGGCTATCCATATGTAACATTTTATTACATGTGTGGGGCCAAATTGCCCTCCAGAAAGGTAATAATAATTGACATTTCCATTAGATATTTTTTTCTTAATCCGCTGAGAAGTTCCTCTAGCTCTGAAATTAGAGTGCTCCCAAGTCATTTTCTGGTCTCCTGATTAAAGTACTTTTTATTTCAGTTCAACAAATATTTTTTGAGGACCTACTTTGTGCCAGGCCCTGTGACTAATATAACCATTGTTTCTGTGTTCATGGAGTACAGTCTTGTGCAAATACAGATAAAGAAACTGTGTTAAGGGCTATAAACGGAAATCCAGGGTGCTGCGAGCATGCGCCTTCTACTGCACAATGTCCTTGCTCACTGTTTCTCTTCTCTCAGTGACTAAGTAGGAGCGGAGGATGATATCATTTTTACTGTGTTGGCATTGTAACACGGATACTGACACAAAAGTTAATGCCCTCTCCACATGTGCCTAGAGGAGGCACAGAGCCTCTGATGTCTGGTCAGGCTCACTTTGCATGCCAGGCAGGAGGCAGGAAGATGAGGTGTGCTGGGCTCTGTCCCCATGTCTCCCTCGGATTTGGGCCTCAGGTACACAGACCAGGGCGGCGAGGAGGAGGAGGACCATGAGAGTGAGGAGCAGCTGCAGCGCCGCATCCTGACAGCAGCCCTGGAGTTTGTACCAGCCCACGGGTGGACAGCAGAGGCCATTGCAGAAGGAGCCCAGGTGTGTATAGGTGAAGGCGGGGCCAGCCTGACCATGATCAGCCAGGAGGGGGCGCCTGGGGGTGACAGCTGCCAAAGCAGAGGGCCTCATGCATCTTCCAGCCCAGCTTGGAACCCCTTACTGCTGCAGGACTCTGTGTGTGTGTGTGTGTGTGTGTTCGTTCCCAATAAGGTGGAAATAGCTTCCTTTTTAAACTGTTTTTTTTTCTTTTTCTTTCTTTGTCTTTTTTTGTTCTTTGTTTCTTTTTTTCTTTGTTGTTTTGTTTAAACTGTTTTTTAACATAAAAACAATATGAGATGGAGTTGGTTCTTGGGAGTTAGGTTCTAAAGGCAGCCCATTAGGCAAGAATTGCCTATGATCAAAACTACTGCCTTTTCATCGACTCTAAGGTGTCATTGATTGTAAGGCGCACCATTATTTTGTGCATCACTAAAAAGGAAAAATGCTGCCTATACACTAGAATGCATCGTCAGTTGTACAGTTTACACTGATTGTTTAAAATGAAAAAGATATGTGCATCTTAAAATCGATGAAACAGGGTGTTTGAAAACTCCCAAGAAGGCACCACTTTGGAGACCAACATACCTTATTTTTCTCAATAAGTCTAACAGCATTTCATTCTTTGTTAAGC